CAGGCACATGTAAGACATCCTTGATGAAGTGTCATCTTAGCATTGACATCACATTTCATATCATTTATTAGAAATGTGACCAATTGAATATTACTACTCTCACAGGCACAATGCAATGGTATCCTACCCTCATTGTCAGTAGAGTGTAGTAAACTAATGTATTGAGGATACTGACTGGTGATATGCTTGATAAAGTGAGTGTGACCTTTTAATGATGAAAAATGAATAACACTCCAGCCTTTGTTATCTGTTAGGCTCAGACTACACTTGTAATCCTTCACATATAATTCCAGTAGTAAAATATCACCAGATTCAGCAGCATAATGAATTGGTAGCTTACCATTACTGTCAGCTTGATGAGGATCTAACTGATAGGTAGTTATTAATTCTTTAACAAGAGATAAGTTAAGAGACAGTGAGGCATAATGTAAAGCAGTGAGGCCATTTTTAGTAACTCCAGTAGGAGACAAACCTTGTTCAGTAATAAGATACTGAACTAAATCAAAGTTACCACTCCATGCAGCATGATGTACTAACATGCGTCCTTCATTATCTGTTTTATTAATATCACAATGCTGTACCTCAATGAGATATTGAGTGATATCAATATGACCATTACGACAAGAATGATGAAGACATGTCATACCATCATTATCAGTGATATTAGGATCACTGTTATGATTATTAATAAGATATTTAACAGAATTAATGCTACCTGACCAGGAAGAGTAGACTAATGGTGTATGACCATAAGTATCAGCATCATTAGTATTGAGATTATACTGAGATATGATATAACTTATTACACTAGTAGAACCTGACCAGGCAGCATAATGTACTAGAGACCTACAATCATTAGTTAATGTACAATTGATATTATATTCTTCTAATGCTTTCACTAGTAATGTACTGCCACTGCGTGATGCAAAATGAAGTAATGACTTACCATCATTTGTAGTGGCATTGATGTGAAAGTTAGGGCAAGTGCTAGCTTTCTTGAGAAGTGAAGAAAACATTGTCACTCTTTGATTTCGTTTCATATAATCAATATTTGTTTTAATTCTAGTATTATTAATAATCTCAATAACTGGTGCATCACTTTGTGCCATAAGCTTACTATACACAATACCAGCTCGAACATGTATACCTGCATAACATACATAATGTAAACACGAGTAGTCATTGGCTTCATTACATTGAACACTAACAATATACTCAACAACTGACAATAAAGAAAACCATGAAGCATAATGAAGTGGAGTTCTACCATATTGATCCTTTACACCAATGGATAGTTGATACCAATTAAAAAGATACTTAAAAAGCTCAACACTTTTATTATTCATAGAACGACAAATATAATGTAGTATACCTCGTCCAAAATTAGTAACTGAATCTGGTAAGAAGAGGTTTAATGATTCAAGCTTGTGGACTAATGCTAACTCTCCACTTTGACAAGCTAACAATGATAAAGACTCGCTATAAAAATTAATCTGCGATGTATTACAATATCTCTCAATAAAGAATTCCACCAGGTCAGAATGGCCCCCCATTGCTGAGTATAGTAATGCAGTGTTATTGCTATTGTCTGGTTGATCAGGAGGAACGTGACATGTGTCTACTAGATATTGTACTATAGATAAGTGGCCTTTATAAGATGCCATATGTATACCAGATACACTATTATCATCACCTTCATTAGGAT